GTAAGATGTTCTTTAACCCTGCAATTCTCTCAACCCTTAATGTTACCGTAACACATTGTTCTCTGAACTCTTATCCAAAATTATATAAACTGCTCTATTGTTGTTCATAACTGCTGAATCTTTTAACTATAATATTTATTAGTTAAAAGGACAACACAAGTTCATTAAAAAAATCAGCATTCCATTTATAGTATTACAATTAAAACAAACACTTGGAATAGTGTAACTACAGCATAAGTCTGTCTTATTGTGCCTTGTACTGAGCTTAGTTATAGGACAGCACATTTTGCTTTTAACTGTACATTTCATTGCTATTACTGGTTTTGTATCACTCTAATTTTATCAAAAATTAATGTTGATGTATAATCACATTCCCTTTTTCCCTGTTAGATTCATTGCCTACATATCTATTCTCAGTGGAAGTTTAGTTTTAGATAGGCTTGAATGTTGAAAGCATATTCTTGCTTTGAAGTTGAACTGGGATGCAAAATGAAGATAAGATTTTTCTAGTTTTAAATCACCTATAATGGAAAAGCAGACCAGACTTCTTCAGATGTGGAATATTTGTTGGAACTGGCTATTCAGACAAATATTCTACATTTTTGAAGGGTGATCCTCACACCCAGAATACAGATTGTCTTTAGAACTGGAGCTAAATATCTTCACTGAGCATACTTGAGCCTCTCTCAGTTCCTTGTGCTGACCAGAGTGCATGCTCCCTCCCTCACAACTCCTGGGTGTGATTGGACTGCACATGTGCCATTTCCACAGAACAACTAAACATGCCTCAGCTCCTCACAGCTTCTGTATGTAACAGGACTGCACATACACCAGCCCCACAGAGTGACAGAATATACTTCAGCGCATGGCAGCAGGGTCAAAGCCAGATTTTCCCAGTAATGTCTGCTTCCAGTGCTCTGGGCTGGGCACTGGAACTAAGAATGGAGTGTCTGTGCCCCCTGTCCTATCAATGACCCCCCTGTGGGCACTCAGGCAGTGTGGAGAAGGAAGCTGGTCTGATTCAAATGCGGAAGGGACAAAAGCCAGACTGGGGGGTGGAAAGGAATAGGAGTCTGGAACTAAGGGTGGTGGAGGAAGAGCAACTGTGACTGGGAGTTGGAAGGGAGAGACTGGGACTGTTCTGGCAAGGAGACTGGAACGAAACCTGTGGGGGAGGGGGATGGTAATGGGCAGAGAAGATGGATCTGAAAAAGTGTTGGGGTGCAGGGGGAGAACTGGGATTTGCTGGGTGAAGAAACTGGGACTTGGATGTGAACCCTGAGTAGTGGAGGTAGGGACTAGGATAGACAAAGAGAATAGGACTAGAGCAAGGAGGTGAGGTGGGAACAGATAGGGCAGGGAAGGCATCAAGCTTGAGGGAAACAGGTAGAAGAGTCTGTGCCCATTAAAGCACTCTCATTTCCAGAGCCTGGAATGGAACCCACGTTTCCTGAATCTCACCATTCCACTGCTGTAAGCAAATATATGTGAAACGTACTGGCGAAGTGTGTGTCTTCTCCCGGTCTAGTGCTGGTCAATGTAGTGATTAACAACCTAACTATTTTTATCAGTTTCTCTCTTAGCTTAAGTACCAGAAGTCTATGTAGTGGATCTACATGTTCCAACCCTGCTGATGAACCACGTGGGTGTCAGTATGGTATCACATTTGGAATATTTCTTTCAGTTTGTTTTTTTAGGAAAAATAGGCAATTAAACAGTAAAAAACTGTTAAAAGAACGTTATTCAGGTTTCAAAGTCAATCACTCAATTAAGAAGTGCCAGTATTAAGGTTGCTTATAATTTTAATTCAGCCCCATTGTGCACATGTATTATGATAGTCTTCTTTTTTGTGTGATTGCACATGTCCATTCCACTTCAGGTGTGTACGCGTTCCCACACAATCTGTAGATATCTAGTTGTTGTCAGAGATTTTTTTCCCTCAGCAGTGCCCATCGGGGCAGCACAGGTGACTTCTGTTCCTTCATGCTGCTGTGCAATGGTATAAAGGACGGAGCCATCCCCAACCCCATCAGTTCCTTCTTAGCATCCGTGATGGTTGTTGGAGAGTGTGGTCTTACTATCACAAGTCTTTTCCTTGGTTTAGTAGTCTATAGTGTTAGGTAGTTATAGAAGTACCCATTCCTGGGTATTGCTACCTCTGCCGGGGCATGACTCAGTCACTGGGTTTTACGCCCTGTCATTCCTGCAAGAAACCAGTTCCAGTAAGTGACCCACACTCCAGTTGCCTGAAGTGTCTTGGGGAGACTCAGGTCCATGTTTTGGTGCCTACTTTGCAAGGATTTTGAGCCAAGAAGGACATGGAGGCCAGGCTTAAGTTTCTGCTACACTTATCCTCAGAGCCGTATCACTCATAGTGGGTACCAAACACATCTGCATTCATCAGAAGTGCTTCTTGTGGTTTTGCTAATTCTTGGGTCCATACTCCTTCCCCAGTACTGAGAAAGAGGCACGGAAAGATGGCATCTAATCTCAACAGGGCTGTGCCAGAGTCAATGGTCCTGCCTGAGCAGATGACTGCTTTGGAGAATGCAGTGTCTCAGCATCTAGAGATGATGCCAAGTTTGAACATGTGGTCATTCCATCTGAGGGTGGGATCGAAGTCTACCTGAATAAAGATTGAACTGCTTGTGAGTCACCAGAAGTGGAATGCACATGTGCAGTCACTCAAAGAAGAAACAGTTACTAACCTGTTCCCTAACTGTTGTTCTTCGAGATGTGTTGCATGTGTCCATTCCACCACCAGCCCTTCTGTATCGGAGTCTGTCCGGCAAGAAGGACTTGGGGAGAGGTTGGAGCAGTTCCACACTTTATACCATCACGCAGCAGCATGAGAGTAGCAGAGGGCACGTGCGCCATCCCAACAGGTACCGCTGAGGGAAAAATCTCCCAACAGCTGTGCATTGGGCATGCACGCAGCTGAAGTGGAATGGGCATGTGCCACACATCTCAAAGAACAACAGTTCTTCTTCGAGTGCTTGCTCATATCGATTCCAATTAGGTGTGCGCGTGCCGCGTGCACAATCGTCGGAGAATTTTCTACCCTAGCAACACCCAGTGGGTCGGCTGTGGAGCCCCCTGGAGTGGCGCCTTCATGGCGCTGGATATATACCCCAGCCGACCCAGCGCCTCCTCAGTTCCTTCTTACCGCCCGTGATGGTCGTTGGAACTGTGGAGCGCGACATAGCTGTTCTCCACTCTCCCTAGCTTTACTTGTTCATTCTTGTAGATAGTTGTTGGTATATACTTTTAGATTAGTAGCTTGTTGTTAATAGCTGTAGAGTAGTTATAAATAGTTAGCGGGGGTTAAGGGGGCTATCCCCCCTTTTCCCCCCAGCGCACAGCCGGGCTCATGCCCAAGGCTCCTGGCTATAAGCCGTGCGCGACCTGTGCTAAGCCTATGCCAACGTGAGACCCTCACGACTCTTGTCTGAAGTGTTTAGGGGAGTCTCACCAGACGGACAAGTGTAAGATCTGCAAGGCTTTCAGGCCCAGGACCAAAAAGGAGCGGAACTTTAGATTTAAGAAGCTCCTTATGGAGGCGGCACTTAGCCCAGATCTTCCTTCGGTGTGCCAAGTTCCGGCACCAAGTGCCTCGGTGCGCAGCGCCCCAGCGGCACCCTCCGGTACTGCACCGCAAGCAGACACGGATAAGGCCCCACGGCACCGTCCTCCCTCGGCACCGCGTCCACCGCAAGCCCTTCAGCGCCGTTCCCTGTCTCCGGGACATAAAAGACCCCGCAAGACCCAGGACGCTGCCGTCCAACAGGCACTGGCTCCTCCCGCACTGGTGGTAGAGCCGCGTCCGACTTCGGAGCGCCAGAGGGTGCAGGCATCGTCGACACCGTTGACTCTGGCACCGGGGGTAGGGCCGTTGAGTCCGGTGCGGACTGGCTCACCGCCTCGTCCTGTGGTTCAGCCCTGTCTCCCTTCTACGCCGGAGACTTTTCAACGGCGAAAGACCTCATTGCCCTCATGGAGCTGGTGCCGTCTCAGTCCGTGGCACCGCATCCCCTTCGCACGGTGTAATCCAGGGGCAAGCCTGCCCTGATACGCCCTCCATCTCCGAGGGTGGACTCGCGGCACCGCTCCCGGTCTCAGAGGAGGTCCCGACGCCGCTCGCAGTCCCGGCACCGATCTTCATCTCGGCACCGGTCGTACTCGCGGCCCAGATCTTCCTCCCGGCACCGATCTACTTCTCGCCACCGACCTGAGCATCGGTACCGGTCGGAGTCCAGATGCAGTTCCCGACACCGGTATGAGCACCGCTCCCGTTCGCGAAGCCGCTCCCGGCACCGAGTCTACAGACTGTCTTCATCTTCGCGATCCAGATCTGGATCCTGGTATCGGCATGGCCATCGGCACCTTTCTCGATCCCGGTACTGCTCACCGGCACCGCGCAGAGACCACTCGCCTGTGGACCGGCACCACTCGGCACTGCACCAGGACAAGCCCCTGCAATCACGCTCAGCACCGCCCTGGCCCTCAAGATTGGTGTCTCGCTCGTCGGAAGGGGCTTCCCGATCAGCATACCCTGCTCAGGGTCAGGCTGCAGACGACTTGGGTCATTGGCAGGAGGGGGCAGAGGACCCTAGGCAGGACCCTGCACATTGGTCTTTCTGGACCCCATGGGCATATCACCAAGCTCAAGGGGCTCCACCAGCGGCCTCTCGCTCGGCACACTCTGAGCCCAGGGTACCTGAGGCCACCATCTCCCGTCCTCCCCCAGGGGGCATGGAGGCTCCCGTGCCGACACCCACGCAGGCCCCAGACCCCGGTGCAGGGGATCTTGCACATCAGGGACCCTTGGAGCCGGACCCTCATCTGGATCCTTTACCCCCTGAGGTGGCGTCCTCATCCTCCCCAGATGAGGCGGTGGCGGGTACAACAGCCTCAGGCCCATCTCCAATAGACCTCTGTGCCCCCCAACACTTGTTATGTCGGGTGGCACGGAACATGGACCTACAGGCTGAGGAGATAGT